GCCTTCTGCCCATCACCCCCCTGTCCCCCGGCTGCCCCCATATGGCTCATCCCAAAGGTCAGGGGCACACAGAGGGGAACACAGAGGAGCCTGAGAGCATCTGCACCGGTTGCCAAGGCCACCTTGCTCGGCAGTGCTTGGGGATGCACTGCAGGGGCGTCCCCTCCATCCCCTCCCCACGGTGCTGTCCTGGCACTGCTGAGCTGCTGGCATCAGCAGCAGAGCTGGGGACATCCTGCTCTAGCCCGGCGGGTCCCTCCCGCCCCCACAGCCCCGGCACTCACAACGTCCGCAGCTTGGGCATGTGGTTGAAGCTGGACACAGGGATGGAAGTGATATTGTTGTTATTCAGGGTCCTGCGGGAAGGCAGAGGGGGGCAGGTCAGGGCAGCCAGGCCGTAAGCAGGAGCATGAGATGGTCCAGGTGGCACTAAACCCCTGGAAGCAACAGCACCCACCCACCCCCCAGCACAGGGTGGATGGACGGAGAGGCAAGGGATGGGGACAGCCCAAACCCCCGGCAGGGCTTGCTGCCTTTTCCAGGCTTCTCCCCTCCACAGCCAGCTGCAGGCAGGTGGACACCCTGGGGCAGGACCAGGCCCTGGAGCACAGCTCCACAGCAGTGGTACCAGACCCCTGCTCAGCCCCTCCTCGGGGCCAGGGAGAGACGGCACGCTGAGGATGTCCCTGCAGCACCTCAGTGAGAGGGGAGCACCCGGGGACACCCTCACCCCACATGGGGCTTGCGGGCTGGAGGCTCCAGCCGGCCTCTGGGCACTTACAGGACCTCCAGCCCCCGCAGGGCACGGAAAGCCCCATCCTCGATGCAGCTGATCTGGTTCTTGTCCAGTTGCCTGCAGGAGAAAGACAGAGGCAGTGTTGCTGGGACAGCCCAGGCGGAGAGCAACCGGTGGCTCCGGATGGTTCCTGCCGCCAGACCCGACCCCAAACTCCCCCATGCCACCCATGCCCATCCCTGCTGTGACTCACAGATTCTTGAGGTCGGTGGCCCCGCGGAAAGCTTTCCTGGGGATGGCCTGGATGAAGTTTTCACTCAGGTCCCTGCAGAAGAAAGAGGCAGGAAGGAAAATGACCAGTGCCTGCAAAGCACAATGCCCTGCGGGACCAGGGCATCTACAGGCAGGGGCATGCCCTGGCACTCAGTGATCCCCAAAGGGCTCTGGGAAGCTGTAATTTGGCAACCAGGGACTTGCAGCCCACTGCCCTGCTGGCTGTCCCAAGGCGAGTCCGGCTCCATCCATGGTGGCTGCAAGTGGCTGGGGCTCCCCGGGCACTGGTGTCCCCAGCTCTGATAAGCAGAGCAGCAGGGCACAGCTCTGGGAAAACCCTCTGTACTTAAATACCCTGTGACTGCTATAATTACTGGTCCCTGCTGCTTAACTGGTAATTACACTTAGTGGCTCCAGCAGGCATTCCCATGGAGCCTGCCCCGCACTTTAGAGGGCACAAATAATAGGGTCATTAATTACTTCATCACTACACTGTCCATGTAATCACCCACTCTGCATTGCCGGAGCATGCCGGGCCACCACGGGCTCTGTTTGCAGGGCTGGCAGCGGGTCGGATCCCTGGCCATGCCCGGGCTGGCTTTTAACAACCATGAAGGTCAAAAATCTCACTGCAAAGTAGGGTCTGGGTGGACTGGCTCAGCTCACCCCACCCTCGGGGGAGTAAAAGCCAGTTTGGGATTTGCCTATGATTTTAACAGCTAGCTTTTTCAAACTGGGCCAAATTGCTTCCAACAGAGCCTACTTCTGCTTGTCTACTCGAGGGTGATCCCACAGCTCCCATGCTGCCGTTCCCTCTCTCACCACAAAGGCCAGGAGCTCCTCCGAGCTCGGCAGGCGCCTGCATTGCCTGTCCCCAGCCCCACGGCAGCACAGCCCCGCTCCAGCCACCCATGGGGCGGGAGGCCAAGTCCCCAGCTCCCTCCTGGCACAGGGAAGCTGAAGCATGGCATGGCATTTGTGCTATGCAGCAAGTCCATGGGTGAGTGAGGAGCAGGACCAGGGCAACCTGCATGGATGAAACACCCCCTAGCATTACACAGGCCATGCAGACACCCCCATCCCAGCCCCGAGAGGTAGTTCGGGGTGTCCCTGGATGCCAGTATTTCACACTCTGTGCTCACCAGCTCTGCTTCAACATAATGAAGCCTGTTCACTACTGATATCCCAGGGCAGTTGGGCTGGGTCAGGATGGAGGCACAGCATCCACACTCCTCCCCGTGCCCCCATTTCCTCCAGAAAATGGGCTCAGCATGGCCCACAAGCTGCTTGCAAAAGACCTGGAGGTCTCCAAATCGGGGCTTCACCCCAGCCAAAAGCTT